GGTAGCGGGAGTTAGGGAAATATTTAAATCTTCTTGGAAAGCTCGTAAATCAATTGCTTTTATTTTTTCTAAATCCTCCCCCCCGGAAAGGTTTACCGGAGCCGGAGAAACAGGCTGGTCTAATAATTCTTGAATAGTTTTAATAATAGTAGTTAAAGAAATATTTTTATCTAAATTATTTAGTTCTTTTATCTCGGTAATAATTTTAGTAATAATTACTTGTTCTTGATTTTTTACTTGTTCTTGGGCTAGTTTTAAATTATTTTCCGCTGTTTGCCGAGCTTCTTTGGCTTGGGCTAGTTCAGTTTTTAAACTATCCCGTTTGGCTTTAATAGCATCATAATCAGTATGAGAACAAGGAGCAGGACAAGGATAATTATTAATTTGTCATTGTAAATTATCTCTTTCCCTAGTGAGAGTGGTAATGATAGCGTCTTTTTGCGTTTTAGTGGTGTTATGGGCAGTTTGTTCCTTGGCTAAATTACTTTGTAAATTACTAATAGTTTGTTGGAAATTGCTTTGGGAAATACCCTTGGCTAATTGGTCTTGGAGGTCGGTTATTCTTCTTTGCTTACTGCTTAATTGCTGCGAAAGATTGTGGTTTTGGTGTTTTAGTTTACCCCTTAAAGACTTCTCTTGTTGTAATTTCTCGGCCAATTGGTTCCGCTCCCCAATCGCTTTTTTTAAACTTTCGGTCAAGGCTTTGCGACTGGCTTGTTCTTCACCAAGTTTTTTAATTAATTCTTTTTCCCGGTCTTGATAATTTAACTCTTTTTCTTCTCACTCTTTTTTTAGTTTACTAATCACCGCAACCAAAGAATTTGAGTAGCTTTCTTTGGCAAATAATTGTTCTTCCAAACTGTTTCACTCGTCTTGTAGAATATTCAACTCCTGGATGGCTGTGGTTAATTGGTTTTGTAAGGCTTCTCTTAATCTTTTTTCTTTTTCTCACTCTTCTTTTAACTGCTTTCTAAATTCAACCCTTCTCACAGTTAACTCATCTTCGTCTTCGTCAGCTCTGTCTAAAATTTTTCTTATTTCCTCTGCTGTTTCTTTACTACCTTTTATTAGAGCTGCTGTTTCATTATCAATAATTTTTTGTGCTGCTGATTGTTGTACTACTGGCATATCTTATATATTAGTTATTTATTTAATATTTTCCGGCCAATTCTTTAAACTACTTTTAATGCTCTCTTTATCCTTAAACAGGATAATAATGGTTCCGGACAGTTTTTTTTCTACTCACTGCTCATTAGTAATGAGGAGAATATTTTTTTTTTCTTGAAAAACCTTTTGACAAGTTTCTTGATACTCTAACTTATAAGTTTTGGCCAGAAAAGAAACATAACTATCATTAGGAACTTTTAAAAGCAAAATATCTTGATATGCTAACAATAATTCACTAGCGGAGAAAAAATTAGATTCGGACTTTATTGTTTTTTCCCAATTTTGCCTTTCTCTATTAAAATTATTTACTGATAGTTCATTTTTTTCTATTCATTCTCTTACCTCTTTTAGATTAATATAACACAAATGCGTTTTACTGTTTTTTAATAACATTGCTAAAATGAGTTTTTAAACTCTTGCTTTAAAAAAATGGTAGCAGAGAGAGGATTTGAACCTCCGACCTAACGAATATGAGTCGTTTGCTCTAACCAACTGAGCTACTCTGCCTCTTTTTGGAAAGTTAGTAAAATTACGTATAAAAAGATTTTTACACCTCTTCAATAAATTATGGATAGCCAACTTGTTTTCACTTTTGAAAATAAGAAATTATAACGAAAGCGGTCAGAAATGCCTTGTTTTTCTCACATTAGAGCTTTAAGTAAAAATTGAAACTTTCTTTTTCCCCCTATCTGCTAAACTTCTTTTTTTTTGCTCTTCTAATAATTTATTAAACTCTTTTTCAGGAAACTTATGATTTTTTTTTTCTAAATAAAACCTAATTAATGCTAGCGGTATTCCTTTGGTATCATACCAAAAAAATATATCTTCGGCGGTGATTGAGAAAGAGCAATATTTATCTAATTCCTGGGTTGATTTACTAATAAAATCCAGGGACTTGTCTATCTCTTTTTTTAATTCTCCAATTATTAAATCCTTTTTTTCTTTTAAATGAGGGTGGTAAACAGAGTTTGTTTCTATTAATTTTTCACTAACTTTTTGTAATTGTTCGCTATTTAGATTAAAAAAATAGGCTAATAAAGTGGCTTTTTTGACTAATTTTTTGAGAATATACCCACGCCCTTTGGGTTCAAATTGGGCTCCATCGGCCAAAGCAAAAATGGTGGTTCGTAAATGGTCGACAATAATATAATAATTACCTCTTTGTTCGTTAGCAGCAAACATATATTATTATTTTTTTTCTTTTAGAAAAATGTAGACCCAAAAAACCTCAAATATCAATAGCTAATAACAATACAGAACCAATTTTATAAACATACAATCTACATTATCCGAAAACTTGTTTATAAAACTTCGGGAGCCAAAGAAAAGACTTTTTTATAACCTCATTGGTCAAATTCGGTTAACAAAGGCACAAAAACTCGAGTTCCCACTGGCTCTTTATTTTCTTTTTTTACCAATACCGCATAATTTTTGCTGAACTTTATTCAAGTGTTATTAGAACGGCGAAAATGCTTTTTAGTAGCGACAATTAGGGCTAATACTATTTGCCCTTTTTTAATCTCAGCGTGGGGGTCGGCTTTTTTTACGGTAGCGATTACTAAATCACCAATCCGACTATAACGGCGATTAGAACCACCCAAACAACGAATTACTAATATTTTTTTAGCCCCTGAATTATCGGCTACGGATAAAATTGATTCATTTTGTAGCATATACTATTTATTTTTTGGTTTTGCGGAGCCAGAAAAAAATCAGAAAGACCGAAATTATTATTCCAACTGTAATCCCTCCTGCTAGTCAGAGATATTTGTTTTTGCTCGGGGAACTATCATTATTAGTAGAGTTATTATTAGAAATATTTAATTCTTCTCGGGTAATTTCTTTTTTGTTATATTTTTGACAGATTTTTTGGAGTTCTTGGTTAGTAAGTTTAGTAGAAGTATTTTTTCCGTTATAAGTAATTATTAATTCCCCATTTTCGAGAATTATTTTCTTAATATTATTGGCTTGGAAATATTGCTTAATCCATTCTAGTTCTGATTCAGACACTATTTGTCTTGCCTTATCATTGTTTTTGATTGGTTGTTGGTGCGGCTTGTTTTCTATCTCATAAGGAGTGATAGTAATTTTATCACCAACTTCTACTCATTTATGAAAATTACTGGGATTATTTTCACCATAGTCGCTTCAAGGTCGGCCAAACTGATCGTTTCTCTCAATGGATTTATCAGTTTCAATTAAATAATAACCATTTTTTTGTCAAGGGAAATTATTTAAAACGGGGTGGTTAACGTTGATATTTAAGTAAAATTCTCGTCCGTTTTCGCGACCTAAGATACCGAAATATTTACCCTGCTTATCAGGATAGGTAAAATAACCAAAACTAAGTCTTTTAGTCTTAGAAAAACGATAATATAAGCCCGGAGTGTTATTTAACCTTTCTTTAATTTGGGCTAATTTTTGGTCGTATATTTGCTCTTTTTCTTTTTTCCGCTTCTCAATTAAATTAACAATTTTCTCTCACTCGTCTTTTTCTAACTCATCATAACTAATTATATGCTCGCTTTCATGTTTGTTTCCTTTTCCTGGGTTTATATTTGTGCCACTAATTCAATTATCTTTTTTATGAATATCCCCTTTTGTTCCTCATATTCAAGTCAACATATCACTGTGTCGGTCATCATGAGTAATTAAATCGGACATTGCTACATATTCCGGTGAGTTCAATTTGGCTTTTATTTGTTCGGCTAGTGCCTTTTTGTTATTGATATTATTTGACATAACGTTTTAATAGTTTTTTAATTATTATTTTAGATCTTTATATAGATGTTGTATTTAGATTTTTGTTAAATATATTATATAGACTAAAAGTGAAAAAAACTGATTGCTGGATGCTCGGTAATTTAGTAGGGTTTAAAGAAAAACTTCTGTTTATTTATTTAACTGCACTTTAATAGTTGACAGAAAACCAAGTAGTTTTGCAAAAATAACTGAAAGAGAATTTAACAAAATGTTACTGGCTGCTTTAAAAACTCCACCACTGAAATTAAAAGATTTAAAAAAGCAAGACTAAAAAATAGAGAGGGAACTTAATAAATCACGACGAAAGAAACAAAATTCTAAAAATAAAAGCAAAAAAAATGCCAAGTAATTATTGTTTAAGTGTAAAATGGTATGTTATCCCCATACTTTTTTAGTCAAAAGGCGGGCAATTTCCTTTTTTATTTGTTTAATTTGGTGAGTTTGAGCTAATTGTCCCATTTTATTTTTCATTTGCAGAACCATCAGGGTGACCCGATATTTGGCTAATAATTCTTTCTCTGTTAATTGTTTTTTAGGGGTAGCGGATTTTTTTTCTTTATTCATTTTAATATTGCAAGATAATTAATGAGTTTTTTAATAATTTAAGTATTGTTGGTGAATATTATTAAGTTAATGGGGCGAATAGTGAGAATTGAACTCACGAATGCTAGTTTCACAAACTAGTGCGTTAACCACTTCGCCATATTCGCCATTTGGAGCGAGTAACGGGAATCGAACCCGCGTAATTAGACTGGCAGTCTAAGGTTCTACCACTGAACTATACTCGCATATTATTAGTTTATTATATTAAGTAATTTTAAGTATTTGTCTTTGGATTGTTTTTGTTTCTGAGGCTATTTAGATAGAACAGAAATGACAGAAAAACCAATACTAAATAACGGGGTTTCAGTTGCTAACCTTGACATCCAAAAGCAACTAACTAAAATTAGCGGAATCCTGACCTCCCCCATCCAATTAAGAGGCGAAAATACCCAAGAACCTTATTATTATTCATTTATTAGATTAAAAGGACAAAAGGTTGATTTACCGGTAATCTTTAAGTCAAAAAGCCCTGATAACCAGTTAATAGAGCCCAAATTTAAAAAAGGTGATGCAGTAGAATTATCCGGTCATTATTCTAATTCTCCCCACAGTATCAGGAAATCTTTTACTGGTTTGGATTATAAGAAATTTATCAGTAGTATCCATGAATTTAAGGTAATCAATAAAGAATGCTTTGGTTGCGGTGATAAATTTATCTGTTCTTCTCAAGAAAACTTTGATTATTGTTCTTCTTGTGAACTAAATGGTAGCCGTCATATCCCGGGCAGATTCACCAAAAATAAATGTTCCGAATGCGGTGATGGTAGTGGAACTATTAAATTCCCAGGTCAACCTCCAAGAAATTGCAGAACTTGCCAGTTAGCCAAAATATCCATTTTAGAGCAAGCCAAAAGTCAACTTCCTCTTTTAGAAAAAGAAGCTGAGAAAATAACCCAAACACGGCAAAGATTAGAAAATCATGAATAAACTGCACGATTTAACGGGCAAGATTATCAGCAAGGAACTGCGGAAAGTCTATAACAAAGCCAGCCCCTACCACGGCAATAATTGTTATAAATTAACCATAATTAATGACCATCAGCAAAAAGATTTGGTATTTGTTTACCCTAATCTAGTTTGAGCGGAAATCTTCCGCACGATTGAACGAAGTCGCTATATAGACAAGAGATATCTCTTTTTTTGTGAAAAAAAACCCAAACGCTGAGTTTTGCACAAATGGGAAGAATTAACCAGTCATGAAAAAGTTTAAATTCCAAACTAAGCAATTAAAGTTCCATTGTTCTCTTTGCCAAACTCTTTACCAATTGTTAGAAAGCCAAGAATCAAGACTTAAAGCCGGAAAAGTTCCATTTACTGATAACCCTTGCCCAAATAACTGCTTAATTAAATGACAAACCATTTTGCACGATTATTGCCAAGAAAAAATTTTTGCTTATCTAGCCAAGGAAGAACAAACGAAAGATGAAAAAGAAACCTTAGTTAGTAAATTAGACCAAATAAAAAAAGAAAATCACCGAAAATAACCATGAACCAAAAATTACAAAAGCAAATAACAAGTAAATTAGAAACCTTAGAAAAGGTTATTGAGAAAATCCGTAACAAAGCAATAGACTCTGATAACTCAGAAATGTGAGATAGTGGTTATTATTACGATTTAGCGGCGAAACTAAAAGAAGCCTTAGCTTTACTAGAAGATAAAAAAGACAAAAAACTGGATGATTGGGGCCAACCGATAATTCTGGAAGTAGGCATTTTAAGTTTACTGGATGATTGAGAAACCGAAAAAGAGAAAAATGACAGAAACTAATATGATAGCCTGAACAATACTGATAACTGAAAATATTTTGTTGGCAATATTAGTGATTGTATGGGTGAACAGAAACTGCAAAAAGTGTAACAAGGTGAAGTGTATTGAAAGGGTATTTAACCAAATTTGTCAAGGGTGCAAAAGAGATAAAGGAAAATCCAAAAAAAGGGAGGAAATAGAACTATAATAAAGTTAAATACTTTATGAAAAACCTAAGTAATTATATTAACTGGCTCCAAAGCCGAAATATTTCCTCCAAAACCATTCAGACTTACACCAAAGGAATTAGGCATTACGGCCAAGTAGCTTTAAATACTAAGAATATTAGCGACTTTTTTAGAAGAATCAGAGAAAGGTTAGATACAGCCACTTTAATTAGTCGCAAAACTGCTCTGAAATCTTATAGTCAATACAAAAAGTTAGAAATTGAATGAGAAAGAATAGCCAAAATTATTCCCCAAGCCCAAAAGAAATTTTTTGCCACAATCAATGAAGAAGAATTAGAATTATTAAAGCAAGCCCGATTTGAGGAAAGAGACAGAGTTTATGAGCGAAATAATTTACTAATAGAATTTCTTTTTTATACCGGAATAAGGGTATCAGAAATAGCCAATATCAAGCACCAAGATTATCAAAACCAAGTTTTACGGATATTGGGCAAAGGCAACAAAATCAGGTATATTTTTTTACCAGAATTTTTGGCCAAACAATTAAATTCCTCTTCTCCGAATTATCTTTTTAGCAGTTGAGAAAGCAACAAACCATTATCAATCAGAATAATCGATCAAATTATTCAAAAAAGAGCTCAATTGTCAGGAATTAATAAGCACATTACTCCTCATACATTCAGGAGGTCATTTGCTACTTTGCTCTATAATAGAGGCGGTAAGTTGACTACTGTGCAAAAACTTCTCGGTCATTCCCATATTACCACCACAGCTCAATATATTCACAATGATTATGAAACTTTATTCGCTGATTACAGTAAATTATGAAAACCAACTCCAAATTTAAACCCTTATGAATAAATACCAACTACTAATTAAAAAAATCCACTTTCTCTTTTTGGTACTCAGCAACCTTTTTCATTCTTTTTTATTCAATCTTCTTCACTAAATTCAAAACTAATGATATCCGCCTTGGCGAAGTCGCGGCGGTAATAAATAATTTCTCCATCATTCAGTGCCGTTTTATAAAAAACAGTTATTTTATTGGTCTTGACTAT